AATCTTTAAAACCTAAAATATAAGATAATTATCAGAAAATGCAACGCTTTTACTAAAAGTTTCGTTGAATATTGAAAGCATTCATTTATTTTAATAGGCATATCTGTACATTTATTACAAATGTTCTTTTCACTTGTGTCTGATTGTAAAAGTCAGGTTTTTTTTAAGAGCAAAACCATCACAGTGACGATGTATGACAGTTATTCTTAAAATAAATATATTTTCCTGTTTTCAGCAGGTAAATAAAACAATTTACCAAAAAATTAAGAACCATCATCTTATTTCAGATACATAATATTTAATAGTCTTATTTTCAGAATAGTAATATCAATTCTAGTAGCAGCAAAACAGGAACTTTCAGCTCACTCTTACTTTAGTTTTTGCAGTGCCCGTTTTTTATGTATAAATAGAACTTGTTGGTTCCCTTTTTTGATTTATTGTTTACATCTGAAGATAGATTTAATCATTTTCCCCATCTGTTAATGCCAACTTATTGGTAATATTGACATTCATTGCAAGAAATGTAGTTGTAAATGTGTATTTTTCATTGTTTTCAAAAGATAAACAAGACATTTACCAATGGAATAAGTGCATCATATCTAATTATCTCAATTAAAGTGGAAAAACTCCAGATTTTATATATAGATCATTCTATTTAAATGCTCAAAATAAGGGAAAACATACAAGAACTTTAAAATCTGCTTTTGCAGTTCTTAAAAGTTGGACTTTTTTCATATCTTCATCTCGTTCTCTAACCCCGATGCTTTAATTTTCCAAAGCTTTCTCAAATCCATGACTATAAATAAGGTTGACTAAAGGCTCAGTCTGTAATTCTTTCACTCCGAAGTGTGAAGAGTAGACGGGGAATATAAAAGGATTGGTCGAATAAAGATATTCTCTGTAGCGTACTTGCTGTACTTTAAGCAGATGGCATTGTTTCAAGTTTCCACTTCCCTGTTTGTCAGCTGCCACACACAAGACGTTTATATGCATGTTTGATTGACCCACGCTGCAGTAATGTGATTACAGGGCAGGTGGGCCCAGGATCGCCCGTCGGCCTTACTTATTGGATTGAGCCAAGTGGGTTGTATATCATCTATTGTTCCTGGGTGGGGGCATTGCCTGGCAATTCACAAAATTGAATTTATAACTCTGTGTATGATAAATTTCGGCCTCTGTTCTGCAGTTAATGGGCCCTTGTTTGTTCCACGCATCGCCTTGATTTCCCTGCACTGCCAATACTGAGAAGTGTTGCTGTTTGCTGGCATGTAGGAGCAGCTCGGTAAACAGAAGCCTGCTCTCGTATTGATTGAACATCTGCGAGAGACGGTTGAGCTTGAGCTCTGCGAAACGGCAGCAGATACAAGGAAATACCTCAGAGGTAGGCGAGAGAAAAGGAGGAAGGAAAGAGAAAGAGACTGGCATATAGGAGAAAAGAAACTGGCAGCAAATTGACTTGCTCTGCTGAAAAAAAAAAGTGTTTCACAAATGTAGTTCCTTCTTAACAAGTGCTAATTGCTTGGATCCAGGTCCAGGAACAAAGAGAGAACAGCGTGTCGGTGCAGAGAGTGACATTTAGTTTTCCATGCTGGAGCTGATGGTGGGTTGCTTAATAATACAGCAGCTCTCTTCAAATCACAGGTGGTCACTTTGGGCTGCTTTTTACAGGCAAAAGTTTTAAAAAGCCGACTCTGAATAAGAGTCCTACGCTGCCGAGCTGGAGGTCTCCAGTCTTAGTCGGGTTTTATTCAAACATATTCCCACTGCAGTTAATCTGTCCATCAGCCGGGTGATTATAGAAACAGGCCAAATGTTTGACTACAAAAATGCACCAACATCTATGTAAACCGACCATTGCACTGAAACATTCAGACAAAGAAGTTACACTTAAGCAACAAATGTTTCTAAGCGTACCGTTTTCTGTAAATTGCACCATTTTCAAACGTAAATGGTTCTTGTTTTGTTGTTTTTTCATGTTTTCTTTTTTAACTTAACAGCCTGTTCAGTGCGATGGGACTTTATCAAAGTAAAAGAAAGTTTAAACATTACAAAAAGTCTTAAAATCTTCCAAAAAGTCTTTCTGATCTTGTTTGGAGATCGATATACTTAACAAGAGCAGATTATAAAAGATTAATGATCTTAATCTGACGTAAAATAAGTGCAGTAATCTGCCAGTGGGGTGAGAGAACTGCACTTAGTGAGACTTCATGATTTCAAGAAGTCTCACCAAGTGCAACTGGCAGATTATTGTAGAATATTCTGAAAACGAGATTAATAATCTTACAGATTCCGCTCTTGCTTTGTATAGAAATCTAAAAACAAGTTAAAGACTGTTTGGCTTGAAATAAGATTATAAGACTTGGTTGATAGATTCTGTTGAAGCAGAAGTTGAATATTTAGATGTAGTTTCATACTGTAAAAGTACAAATTCTGAACTATTAATCCTTTAACCGAGGCTTTCTTTAGTAAATCAGATCAGAAATCGTATTAATACAAAGAAGCAACACTTCTGAATCAATATTTGGTGCTGGTTCATCATGACAGAAGGCTGTAAAATGGAAATCTGAGAAACTCAATTTTTCTTCACTTAATTCAAGCAATAAAGTAATCCAATTTACCAATGGAATGAGATTATTTTAATTTAAAATAACAAACAAAACATATGAACTTATTCCATGTCCACATCTATTTAGTTTTTAAGAGCAAAAAATCTTGCAGAGGAGACACGACCTTTAAATGAGGACCTTCCCATAAAGGTCAAAAGATTAATCTACCAGGTTTATTTTTTTTCCGCATCTTATCTTTTACATCCAACATATTTCTTATTTTATGACTTCATACTTAAACTTTACTTTCATTGTCTTATTTTATACTTTTAATTTTATAAAAAAAAAAAAAAAAAAAGACAAGTCTGGTCATGACAAGCTCCATACACTGCAAAAAATGAAGTGTGAATAAGTCTTTTTTTCTTGAAATGAAGGGATCTTCCCTTTACATGGGAAGGTAAGTAAGACAATTTGCAAATGGAAAAACATAAAATGAGAAAATTACAGCTGCATTATCTTATTTCAAGGGTATAATATCAAATTATCTCATTTTGAGGAGAGAATCAATAGTTCTTTTAGCAGGTTATCCTGTTAATCTTCTCAAATTAAGAGCAAATACGCTCATTTTACGAAATCTCACATCGTTTTACACTGGAAAAAATGATCCAGAAATACACATTTCTTGAATTAAGTGTATTTACTCTTGAATAGGTAAATTAGATACTTTGCTAAAAGAATTAGTATTTTTACTCTTAAAATAAGATAATTAGATAATATGCACTTGAAATAAGACAATGCAATAGTGTTTACTTATTTACACTGCAAAAACGATCTAGAAATAAGTCAAAATGTCTTAAATTAACTGTATTTACCCTTGATTTGAGTAAGATAAGATGTTTTGCCAATGGAAGAGAATTGTTACTCTTAAAATAAGGTAATTCGATAATATACACTTGAAATAAGACAATGAAATAGTTTTTTTCTTATTTTAAATGTAAATTCTCTCGTTCCATTGGCAAAGTGTCTCACCTACCTCCTCAATTCGAGAAAAACGCACTTTTTTAAAGAAAAAATGACTTATCTAGATATCGATTTTTCCCAGTGTATATCTAAATTGTCTTGTTCCATTGGCAAAATGTCATTTATCTACTCAATTCATGAAACAAATCCACCAATTTAAGAAAAAATTACTTATCTAGATTTAGATTTTTTCCAATGTAGGTCAGTTTTTGCAGTGTACTACCAACCTCCTCTTCCTTTGCCTAAACTTGTCATATTCGTTCAACTTGGTTAGAGCTTGTTTTGCCTTGAGATCAACTTTTAAAGGAGATGCAAGACCAAATATTGCTCTATTTTACTCAAACAAAAAGCTTTTGGTCAAGATTAGAGATGAAAGGTTTCATGTGGTTTTGTGAGGAATTATTCTAGATAAAACTAGATGATATTTCATTTCTCACTAGGTTTTCTCTTTCCACCATCAGCAACCCAATAATAAACCCCATCTCTCCTCTATAGCAGTATTTTCCCCTTAATCTCAGCAGGCTGATAAATGAGCTGCCAGTGGCATCACTATTTTAATTCAGTTGTGTTATTGTTTCTTATATTAAGCATAAATCTGTTCATTCCAATGCCGAAGTGTCTTACCTACCTGCTCAAATCAATGGAAAATACAAACATTATACACTGCAAAAACAATATAAACAAGTAAAATATTCTTCAGTTAAATGTATTTACCCTTAATTTGAGTAGAGAAATAAGATTTTTTGGGGTATTTTCACTCTTAAAATAAGTTAATTAGATTAGATTAGAATTGTTTTTCTTATTTCAAATTTAAATAGTTTTGTTCCATTGGCAAAGTGTTTCACTTACCGCCTCAATTCAAGACAAAATGCATTTATTTTAAGAAAAGATTACTTATTTAGATTTCAATTTTTTGCAGTGTAGGAAAACTTTACTTACTCCACACTGGAAAAATGATCTAGAAATAAGTGCAATTTATTTTTTATTAAGTGTGTTTACCCCTAATTTGAGTAGGTAAATGAGATAGTTTGCCAATTGAATGAGTATTTTTTCTCTTAAAATAAGATAATTAGATAATATGCACTTGAAATAAGACAATGGAATTGTGTTTTGTCTTATTTTAAGTGTAAATTGTCTTGTTCCATTGGCAAAATGTCTCTTTTACCTCCTCAATCCAAGAACAAATACACTTATTTTAAGAAAAAATGACTTGTCTAGATTTTGATTTCTTTCCAGTGCAGTTTTAATTTTTGCAGTGCAAATAACTTTAAACTCCAAAATGAACCCACAACTCTCAATAAAGTCACTCTGAGCAAAAACAGGGAAAAATTGGGATTCAGGGACAATAGAAATGAACTTTAAAAAGCAACTTTAAAGCACGTGGCTGCGTGCTTACTTGGGTAACATGCAGGGCGGGTAGGAGCCCATACTCACATTTCTGTCACATTATCACTCTCCTGAGGAGCCAGTGGTGGGATGCTGCTTATCCCGTTGGGCTCTAGGCACTGCATCATGGCAAAAGAGCAGCGGCAAGCGGACGGGCATCCTCCCAAAGTAGGTGCAGGCGACAGGCTGAGCAGGGTTAGCGCCAGGGGCAAGAGAAGCACCAGGACCCTGGGTGCCACGTCCATCTCTCTGAGTACCACCTGAGTGGTAGCAGCAGTTGGTGTCTGAGTGCTTCACCTAATGAAGAGTTAATGAAGAGTGGTGGAGAGCTTCCTCTCTGGCGGGGTTGAGATCCCAGCTGGTCAGGGTTTGATAGGGAGCCACAGCTGTAGTGAGCAGCAGGAGGGGCAGGCACACGAGCAGGCTGGAGGCCCCTGGGGACATGCTGGTGGTGGGCTGGAGCTTCTCCTCTTTACCTCCCTCTCTCCTCGTCTCCTTCACCATTAAGGGAGGAGCAACATATTAACATGGGCCAAAGTCACCAGACACCTCAGAGAGCATGATAAAGGCAGGGAGGGGGGGGGGGGGTAAGGGTGTGAGAGCAGACCCACGAAGTCAGGGCTCCAGGGCACAGACTCTTCCTCCTCCTGCAGCATCATCATCATCATCCCTCTGCACTGATTGTTTATGAGTTCATGGTGGTTTACCATCACATATGTATTTATGCATGAGAAAATGGACGGTGGGGGGGGGCATTTGCTGCAAGCTCTTTGAACTCCTAACAGCACCGAGCAATGACCTGTTTATCTTTATCTTCAGGTGCAATCACTGAAACATGTAAAACCCACTCAGGCCTGATCATGTGAGCGCCTTACTGCTGGAAATGAGAAGAAAGCAATCAAACCTGAGAAGAAGTCAGCCCGTCGGTGAAGTTGGAGGACTCGAAAACAGAGTTGATTGAGAAGGCAGATACAAAAAAATAAAAAATAAAACACTTGCAGCAGTTCAGGAAATCAATAAAAGAGAAAGAAAGTGAAAACAAAGCAGAAGGTAGACATAAGGAGCTGAGACAAAAGAGGAGAAACGGCAACTCAACAGAAAACAGAGAAAACATCATATATCGTCAGGGACAATCAGCGGAGCAGAATTCAGGTGTGAACAGAACCGAGAAAATCGAGGGAAAGTAAAGAAGCTCCTGAAGTGAACTTAAATGAACCAAGAGCTGGAGGAACTGCTCTGAAATCTACACTAAAACCATCAGAGATCATGCTAAGGAATAGAATGTTTATTTTTTTGTTTAAATCAAGACTTTTCAAACATTTAAATGGAGGAAGAAAAAAAACTCCTTTTTGCTCCCCAAAAAAATCTAATTAGATTAAGTGTATCTACCCTGTAATCTAATACTGCAATCACTCTTTAAAAGGGGTAATTTGGTCATTTAAAGGGGATTTTAGTTTATTTTACTGTGTAGTTTGCAGCAGCTGACTTTTCTTAGCTGAAATGTGAAAAACTTCCCACATATAAAGCCTTAAATGGCCAAGCTACATCTGATATCAGAGATCTGATTGTTCCTTATGTTCCTAACAGAGCACTTCGCTCTCAATCTGCAGGTTTACTAGTGGTTCCTAGAATTTCTAAAAGTAGAATGGGAGGCAGATCTTTTAGTTATCAGGCTCCTCTCCTGTGGAACCAACTACCAGTTTTAGTCCGTGAGGCAGACACCCTGTCTACTTTTAAGGCTAGGCTTAAAACTTTCCTTTTTGATAAAGCTTCTAGTTAGAGTGGCTCAGGTTATCCTGAGCTATCTCTATAGTTCTGCTGCTATAGGCTTAGACTGCTGGAGGACATAGGGACCCTTTTTCCTCATTCTGCTTCATTCTATCTCTATTCTCCAACTCTGCAGAATCTGTTAGATCAATCTCTAGCATTATACTCTCTGATTTTTTGCCTCTTCTGTTCCTGCTGGCTTTGACACCATCCTGGAGAGAAATATCTGCTGTGTTTGAATTCATGGGCTGCGTCTTCCAAGTACGCGTCTACCTGGACTGGATCCTTTGAAGTCCTTGAAAATAAGGAGACCGGAAGAGTTTTGGCTTTGATTTCAAACAGCTCTACTCTTCGGCAGCTTTTACCGCTGTACGTTCTGTCGCTTAGCAACCGTGACAGTTGACACATAAAGCAGGAAAAGAATGACTACCGAACTTTTCAAAACTTAAAACTTAACTAAAGATATAAACCTTAGTCAGTTAAATAACCTGCTGCTGTCATTTTATACATCTCTGATGTTGCTGCTATTTTCGAATATCTATTACTGTAAAAATGTCCATAGCTGCATATTGGTTATTTATTCTCCAGGTGCACAGTATTGATATTGTTAAAACACTTTACAGTATTTCATTATTCGTATTTTAACTCTTCCCTATTATCTTATTCATATACATTTTTCTAAGGTCGACATTTGTGTGACCATTTTTGATAATCTTTCTGCTGCTGTAAATTTGCCCATTGTGGGACAATAAAGAGAATTTCTGTTCTATTCTATAAAAGGGTTAGAAATATATAAGTAAATCTAAACAATGAATGTATAAAAAATATAACTGCAAAATCTCTAATATTCCACAACAAAAAATTCTATCAGATCCCACAGATTTATAGTCCCCACCCTGCAGATATATTAGAATATGTCCTTAAATTCCAGCCAAACCCATTTACACAGCAACAAATAAAAACCTTTAGATAAATCAAACATTACCGCCACATATCTGACTCAATAACCATTAAAATAACTATCTTCATTCATTTCAGACAAAACTATTGACTGAGCTATTCACATACTTGTATTATATTAAACTGAACTTCCAATATTCACCCATGTTTCGGCTTGCTTGGCCTCACAATGAATCCTGGGATATCCAAGGATAGTGAGGATACATTTGACCCGTCCTTCAGATCGGGCAAAAAGGATGCATTTGAAGGCCGCATAACGACGCTATGACGTAATCGTTCTTCGAATCTGGCCTTCGGAGGGCACAGCCCATGAATTCCAACAGAGAAATAAGCTATGCTGCTACCATCAACACCATTGTTTATAGATGTTGGAGATCGGCCTGTGTAGTCCTGTTTCTCTGACTGTGACTAACTGGATGTGCTCTCTTCATCCTCTGACATGGGAGCTGGCTTGGAGCTCGTCTGCCTGGCTGTGTGTTTCCTGGACGGGGCCGCCTATGATGCTGGTTCACAGTTTTCTTTGTATCTCTGCTTCTGTCTCCTTAAAACCCAGTCGCCTCAGCAGACGGCCGCTCACACTGAGCCTGGTTCTGCTGGAGGTTTCTTCCTGTTAAAAGGGAATTATTCCTCTCCACTGTTGCCCAAAGCTCAACTCAACTCAAACCTTATTTATAAAGCACATTTACCAAATTGACCAAAGTGCTGTACAGGAATCACAGTTAAGGAACATAAGATAAGAACATGCTTAGTGTGAGGGATCGCCTTCGACTCAATGAGTCGATGCAATCAACTGGTTTTCCTTAGATAGAAAACTTTGAATCAATTTGACTGGATGATCTGGTTCAACTGTAAAGTGCCTTGAGATGACTTGTTTATATAAATAAACTGAATTTAATTGAAAAAGATTGGTCGGACGGGGGAGAGGATACTTCCTTTTTAAATGAAAGCGGGCCCATGAAGAAAAGTGAACCAATATGGGATACGTAGAACACTAACTATGAGAAAATTACTGGCTTACTTACAATATGTGAGAACTCACAAGTTACCTACAGATATCCTGATCACATAAATAGACATAAGATTTTACTGTATTTGTTTAAACATATTCCTCAACAAACCTTCTGGTTTGAAAATATATTTAAAAATGTAAACATCCTCCAAACTGAACACTCAATAAACCATAAACCTACCTTCCTAAACCCTTTCACATTGATAGCTGAACCCTGCATGCCTTCACTGACCATCTGTCAAACCCAACATTAACCTGCTCTGGAGACCCACCACTGTTCATCTCTTTTATGCTCTCTGTATGATCAGAGCCTGTTTCCTCCCGTGGGACAGATAGTTGCCCCGCCCTCATCCCTCTTAGTCACTCTACACATGAGTAGGGGTCATAGTGTCCTGACCACAATTACTGGCCATAAGCCGAATCACTGTTTTTGCTGCTGTCATCAAAATTATCTGCTGTCTTAATTACTTTTTCTTTTATGCCTCCTTTTTCTCTCTGTCTTAGCTCAGCAGATATGGTGGAGGGACAAGGCCCCCCATTCACAGGGAAAGTGTCTGAGAGATCAAGTGCAGCAATTTGAAGCTGAAGAACAGCATCGGAAGCAACACATCATGCAAAAACTGCACATGCAAACAAAAAGCAAAAAAAAAATCAGGACACATTATCTTAAGCATGCAGGTTAACCTATGATTTTTCTGCATCTTTTTGCAAATGACTTGATATTTTTGCCATTCAGCAGATTTATAAATATATGTTTTACTAATTTATATTTAGGAATTAATGTTTTACAATGCCAGAGATATTTGCGAACTGATGATTTGCTGTCAGGGCCTCAGAAACAATTACAACACTGGAAAAACGATCTAGAAATAAGCAAAAATTTCTTAAATTGAGTGTATTTACCCTTAATTTAAATAGCTAAATGAGTTAGTTTGCCAAAGGAATGAGTATTTTTAGTCTTAAAATAAGATAATTACATAATATGCACTTGAAATAAGACAATGCAATTATTTTTTTCTTATTTTAAATGTAAATTGTCTTGTTCCATTGGCAAAATGTCTCTTTTATCTCCTAAATCCAGGCATAAATGCTCTTATTTTAAGAAAGAATGACTTATCTAGATTTCAATTTTTTCCAGTGAATATTTTAAAACTTGGTTAAAAAATGTATGAGGTTAAAAAACAGGTAAACAACACTGCAAAAAACTATCTAGAAATAAGCTAAAATTTCTTAACTTAAGCATATTTACCCTTTATTTCAGTATGAAAATAAGATGATTTGCCAATGGAAGGAGTTATTTACTCTTTAAATAAAATAATTAGATAATATGCACTTTAGATAAGACAATGCTATAGTTTTTTCTTATTTTAAATGTAAATATCTTGGTCCATTGGCAAAGTGTCTCGCTTAACTCTTATTTTAGAAAAAATTTTAATTTTTTTTTGCAAATTGTTAAACTAAATTGAACCTTTTTTTTTTTTGCTAAACCTTCCTTGTAATATAATAATAAAAATATGATTCAAATTCTTCCATTCCTGATTCTGAAAACTGAAAATGCCATCAGAAAGTACAGAGTTCCCAGAGATTTTTATTTTTCTATTTATTTTTCTAAACTATAAAAAAAATTAGAATGATTAATGAAAATGTTTGTGCAGTATAA